ATATATATATATATATATATATATATATTATATTATATTATATATATTATATTATATATATTGTACTAAAATAAACTACTACTCACTACTTGTACTAATATTCCTACTTCACGATTTTTCACTTATTGCAGGGCTTCAGGGTACAAATCCCTCTTGATAAAAGAGGGACTACTATAGTTAGGGTTGGCTTGTTATGCTGCTATAGGCTTGGACTACTAGAGGACAAATTGACCTCATTTCCTTAAATGAATTGTTAAAACTGAATAGTTTTCATTTGATACTATTTCTATCTTAACATGTGATTCTTGATCTGCCATTGTGTATCTGTTCCTATTCATTCAACCTTTATTTCTACAGGTTAATCTCATTGAGCCTCGGGGACTCATTTACAAGAAAGACCTGATTTTGACAGAGAACAATGACAACAGTGGACAACAAAGACAACAACAGACAAACATAAAGGATGCGTATACAAATTGAGAATAACAAGTAAAACATGAGGGCCAATGGTGTAGAGGCAGGGCAGCTGGCTTGGAACCCAAAAGTCCCAGGTTCGATCCCCGGTCACTGCATACCTCGTGATGTCCCTGGGCAGCACACCCCATCCCCAAAATGCCCCCCAGGCGCCCTCAATAGTCGCCCACCGCACCACCCGGTGGTGGATGGGTTAAATGCAGAGACTAATTTCGCCATTGTATGGAAACGTACAGTGATGACATTATTATTATATAAAATAAAATGGTATTTAAAAGAAAATGTAACAAAAAAAACAGCTATGTTGTAAGGTGATGTAGAAAACTAAAAACAGGAACTGAACAGATGTTTGAAGCCACTTGGAGAGGTCAAGGTCAAGAGCTACAGATCTTTTTGCAAGATATTTTAGTAAACAGCAGCAGAGTAGAAGGCCCTTTTGTCTAGTTCGGTCCTCACTGAGGGAACCAGCCAGTCGAAGCAGTTGGCTGCTTGTCCTGAGCCTTGTTCTGCTAAAGGTTTCTTTCTCATGAGGGAGTTTTTCCTTTCCACTGTCGCCTTCATGCTTGCTCAAGATGAGAGTTCTGTGGAGTTAAATTCAAAGCAGTCTGCTCCTCAGATAAATAATGTTAAATTATTTTTATATATGAATGTTTCTGTTCAATGCCCTGAGACGACTTCTGTTGTGACTTTGCGCTTCATAAATAAACTGAATTGAATTGAATTGTGTTTCATGCAGCCGTTGCCATGGCGACCAGCATCTTTACTGCTCATTGGTGGAGACTGGTCGTTGCTATGACGACAGCATCTTCGCGCATGCCACTGAAGAAACTTCTGTGGAGTGAGCCAAGTATGTTGCCATGGCAACGGTTTGGGATTTTCCTACAGGGCGTGGCTAGAAGTGGGTAACCATGGCAACAAGGATGCTGTGTGTACAGTAACCTCAAGTCCTGTTGTTTGTTTGTTTGTTTGTGTCATCAGACTGCAGGTGTCACGACCTCACAGTGCTTTCTCTCCGGTGCCGTTCAGCCCGGCATTCACTGGTGAGTCCACGTGTGTGTGTGGGGGGGGGGGGGGGGGTTTTGGGGGGAGATCAGCTGTAAACACACTCTGGACAAGCAAACTGCAGAGGTAAACAACAGCAACCATGGTCTCAGTGGATCATCTTCAGACCACAAGACGGTTCTGGACTTTTCCTCTGGCTCTGGTCCAATGAATGAGCTTTCCCGGATCTTCAGCTGAGACAAAAGAGAGGGAGGACAGAGGTCATGATCTCTACAGGAAGTGACCTCATCCCCAGGGAATTAGGCTGGATAATGATGACGTCAGGATGAATATGAAGCTCTTGGTTTGACTCTGGGTCTGGTTCTGATGGAAACTAGACCCAGGCCTTCATCCTGCAGCGCTGACCCATACCAATGAAGATGAGTGATGAAGATGACACCTGAGCTTCAGTTTGTTTTTCCAGAAACAGTTTGAGGATGAAGGTGGTGAGGATGATGAGTGATGAGGATGGAGGTGGTGATGAGGATGATGAAAGTGGTGTTGATGAAGGTGGGGAAGATTATGAGTGATGAAGGTGATGAGGATGATGAGTGTGAGGATGAAGGTGGTGAGGATGATGATTAACGTAGTGATGATGATAAAGTCTTGTGAGGTAGTTCCTCTTCATCATGATGACTAACCCTTCCTCCTTCCTCTAACCCTCCTCTTCCTCTGCCTGTCTCTGCCTGTCTCCAGGTGAGACGGTGTCTCTGGTCGATGTGGATATTTCTCGCCGGGGGGGGACGTCTCTCCACCCCCCCACCCCTCCTCCCCCGCCCCGGCGGAGCCTCAGTCTGCTCGGTACCTCCTCTTCCTCTTTTGTCCATCTGTCACTTCCTGTCCTCTCTTCTTCGTGTCTCCGGGCAGGTAGGTTCGTCTTGAGCTGCGTTTTGACCGGATCAGAACTGATTTGAGATTCAGCTTGGCTTCGACCCGTCTGAACCTTTATTGTGTCATTCAGAAAGATGAATTTATAAACTCTGTGGAGAATGTTCCTCGTCTGCTCTCTGGATGTTCTGTTGGACCATCGACTCGGTCCAGGTAGTCCAGCAGAACCTCCTCTCAAGTGTTGGTGTCTCCGTGTCCCTGCAGATGACTTTGGGGGTCCTCCTCAGAACCAGGGACCCTTCACTGGAGCTTCGATGCAATCCCTGCCCCCCCGGCCTATGGCCCCCTCCCTCAGCGCCATCCAGCACAGCCTGAGCCTGAACGGTACCAAACACTCATGGGGCCGCTGAAACCAGAACCGGTTTTAGGTTTTCAAGATGTTTTTTCTGCAGCTGGACCAGCTGGTCTGGGTCCTGTGGTCCAGTCAGGTTCTGATCCAAAGTTCTGACCCAGATCTAACCTTCAGCTACTGTTCAGGTGAAAACAGCTGAAGCCTCTGACAGAACCGTCAGAAGGTCCGCAGAACTGTTAATCAGAACCTCAGAATCGGGTTCTGGATTAGGAGTTTCACTCAGAACTAGAACTGGACCCAGATTAGTTGACTGGACTTCGTTTACAGATTTAGTTTAAACTTCGTCTTCTTCTGGATGCCAACAGACACCTTCCTGAGAGGGTTACCGCGACCGGTACCACTGCGGCCCGACGGGCTGAGCCCCCCACCCCGACTCACCCCCCGCTGCCCTCTGAGCCGACCTGACGCCGGCAGCTTCGCCACCAGCCTCAGGGAGCTGGAGAAGGTGGGTCCTGCTTTCAGTCAGGGGGCATGCTGGCGAGGGGGCGGAGCTTATCTGTTCGTGTATGTCTGCAGTGCGACTGGTACTGGGGGCGGAGCTTATCTGTGCATGTGTGTGCAGTGTGGCTGGTACTGGGGGCAGAACTTATCTGTGTGTGTGCCTGCAGTGTGGCTAGTACTAGGGGTGGAGCTTATCTGTGCATGTGTCTGCGGTGTGGCTGGTACTGGGGGCGGAGCTTTTCTGTGCATGTGTGTTTGCGGTGTGGCTGGTACTGGAGGCGGAGCTTATCTGTGCATGTGTGTCTGCGGTGTGGTTGGTACTTGGGGCAGAGCTTATCTGTGTGTGTGTGTCTGCAGTGCGGCTGGTACTGGGGTCCGATGAACTGGGAAGACGCAGAGATGAAACTGAAGGGGAAACCAGATGGATCGTTCCTAGTCCGAGACAGTTCGGACCCTCGGTACATCCTGAGCCTGAGCTTCAGATCTCAGGGTGTCACGCATCACACCCGCATGGAGCACTACAGAGGTATTGCACATGCCCAGAACACCACCAGAACCTGACCCATTTGTGTTTGTTCACTTGGTTCTGTCCTGGTTCTGATCCACAGGGACCTTCAGTTTGTGGTGCCACCCCAAGTTCGAGGACCGATGCCACTCGGTGGTCGAGTTCATCGAGCGAGCCATCATGCACTCCAAGAACGGGAAGTTCCTCTACTTCCTGCGCTCCCGGGTCCCAGGTAGGTGTCAGCCAATCGGGGCGCTCCATAAGGATGCACCTGCAGAACCGGCTGACCCGGTGTTCTAAAAAACCTTCTTTTTCTTCTTCGGCTTTCTCCTCTTCAAGGGTCTCCACAGCGAGTCCTCCTCCATCTCATTCTGTCCTCTGTCCTCACTCCAGCTACCTCCATGTCCTCTCTAACTGCATCCATATATCTCCTCTTTGTCTTTTTCCTGGCAGCTGCATTTATAACATTCTTCTACTAACATACCCACTGTCCCTCCTCTGGACATGTCCAAATCACTGTCCCTCCTCTGGACATGTCCAAATCACTGTCCCTCCTCTGGACATGTCCAAACCATCTCAGTCTGTCCTCTCTAACTTTTTCTTCCGGTTGTTCAACCTGTGCTGTATCTCTGATGAGCTCATTCCTAATCTTATCCATCCTTGTCACTCCTAAGGAGAACCTCAACATCTTCATTTCTGCCACTTCCAGTTCTGTTTCCTGTCTTTTTGTCCATGTCTCTGTCTCCAGACCATGTAACATAGCTGGTCTCACCACTGTCTGTAAACTTTTCCTTTGACTTTTGCTGACACCCTTTTGTCACAAATCACTCTTGAAACTTTTCTTCATCCACTCCATCCTGCCTGGACTCTTCTTCACCTCTTTACCACACCTGGAGAGTAGACCCCAAGTCCTTGAAGTTCTGCACCTTTGTGACCTCTGCTCCTTGTAGCCTCACTGTTCTGCCTCCCTCTCATTCACACACGTACTCTGTCTTACTACGGCTGACTTTCATTCCTCTTCTTTCAAGTACATACCTCCACCTCTCCAAGTTCTCTTCCACCTGTTCCCTGTTCTCACCACAGATCACAATGTCCTCTGCAAACATCATAGTCCACGGGAATTCCTGCCTGATCTCACCTGTTAGTCGGTCCATCACCAGAGCAAACAAGAAGGGGCTCAGAGCCGATCCTTGATGCACTCCCACCTCCACCTTGAAGTTGAGCCTTTAACAGCTCCTCTCTGAATTTCTCACAACATTCTTCCGTCTTCATCTTCCACTATTTGGTCTTCTTCTCTGATTTTACTCTTTTTCTCTTCTTCACAACAACAGTCATTCTACACAAAACCATCAGATGCTGTCTAGCCACGCTCTCCTCTGCCACACTCTTACAGTCTCCAGTCTCCCTCAGGTTTCCTCTTCTACACAGAATGTAGTCGACCTGCGTACTCCTTCCTCCACTCTTATAGGTCACTCTATGTTCCACCCTCTTTTGGAAATAGGTGTTGACTACAGCCATTTCCATTCTCTTGGTGAAATCCACCACCATTTGTCCTTCCTGGTTTCTTTCCTTGACACCAAACCTACCCATCACTTCCTCATCCCCTCTGTTTCCTTCACCAACATGTCCATTCAAGTCTGCTCCGATCACCACTCTTCTCCTTGAGAATACTCTCTATCACTTCGTCCAGATCTTTCCAAAATGTATCTTTCTCCTCCACATCAAATCCAACCTGTGGAGCATAACCACTGACAACATTTAGCATCAGACCTTCTACTTCTACCTTCAGACACATCACCCTGTTTGACACTCTTTTCACCTCTACTACATTCTTTGCACACTCCTCCTTCAGGACCACTCCTACTCCATTTCTCTTTCTATCCACACCATGGTAAAACAGTTTGAAATCTGCTCCAATGCTGTGAGCCTTGCTGCCCTTCCACTTGGTCTCTTGGACACATAAAACATCTACCTTCTTTCTCTGCATCATGTCAGCCAGCTCTTTATTTTTGCCTGTCATTGTCCCCACATTTAGAGTTGCAACCCTCAGTCCTACATTCTTGACCTTCCTCTTCTCCCTCTACCTCCAGACACGTTTCCCTACTTGTGGTCTCTAAAACCCGGTGTTCTAAAACCATTAAACCTAAATCAGAACCAGCTGACCTAATGTTCTGTAAGAATCAAACAACTATAAAACGACCTAAATCAGCTGAACAAGTCCAAAACGTTTCCAACAGAACCAGAACTTTTCGTCCAAGTGTTGAACTACGTCACAGCTGCAACCAGAACCAGGAGGATCTAGTTCTGTGTAAATTAGACCAGAGAGAACTCGGGACTTGATCAGAACCTTTGCAGCATGTTCATGTTCTGGAATATCCTGTACGTGTCTTCAGTGACTGAGCTCGGTTTCTGACCCGGTCTGTGTGTTCAGGTCTGCCTCCGACCCCGGTTCAGCTCCTGTACCCAGTCTCCAGGTTCAGCAGCGTGAAGTCCCTGCAGCACCTGTGTCGGTTCTGCATCAGACAGCTGGTCCGGATTGACCACATCCAGGAGCTGCCGCTGCCCACGTACGTACCTGAGTGAAGCCCCACCCCTTGAGGGAAGCCGCTCCCTCAGCACTCACCTGTCAGAACCAGAACCTCACACTGAAACAGGAGACCATTTTTATCCTGATGCATGCTCGATAATCCAGGTAGAAAAATCTAAAAAAGTTAAGTCAGGTCCTCTGGACGTTCTAAAAACAAAAATAAAAAAATGTCGAAATGTTTTGTCTTTCATCCGAAAGACTTCTTCAGTCTGAGGAGCTGTATTCAGCTCAGTCTTATAAATAGCACCTTCTCATAGTGGATCAACCAGTTTGCTGCTGACAACCAAAACCAGCTGCTCACATGATTAAAGGAAGGAAACCACTTGGCATGTTTCAGGTGGAAAACAGGAAGTGAAACTCTTGTACTGGTTCTGGTCGAGTTGGGTTCTGTTCCTGCAGTTACAGGAAGTGACTCCTGATTGGTCGGTTGAGTGACCTTTGACCCTGTGTGTCTTGCAGGCCTCTGATCTTCTACCTGAGGAAGTTTTATTACTACGACCCCGAGGAGGAGATCAGTCCCTCGCTGCCGGAGGTAAAGAACCCCGGGTCGGACCCCGGGTCGGAGTCCAGTGGCCCCCTGGGGGTCGAGTCCCAAACGTAGCACCAGAACCAGAGACCAGGTAAATCCGTTTCCAGAACACTGACTCTGATCGTTTTGAACCTTTCTACAGTTCTTTCTGCTAGATTCTGGTTCTGTCTCCTTCAGGGTCCAGGTTGTGTTTAAATGTTTCTCAGAACCAGTTTTGGTTCTGACCCAGTTTCTCTCTCCCCCAGGTCTTCTCTTCCCTGTCGATAACTCAGATCAGCCAATCAGCTCCCTCCGCTCTGTCTGGGTTTCAGACCACCCTCTCTGTGGAGACTCCGCCTCCTTATGATGTCACCACTGAGTACCTGGACTGACGGTGGCGGGAGACGCTGAGACCTGGGCCAGAACCCGACCCATCGGTCGCCTTCGGGACCCGAAACTCTTTAGAGTCGGATCCCAGTTCTGGAGCTGTTGGTTTTGCTGAACTCATGCAGAACTGCAGGTGGACCAGATTTGTTCTGCAGGTCCATGACAGAACCGGACCGATGATCAAACGTGTGCTGCTCAAACTCTGATGTTTTTCTCAATTTGAACGTTTGAACGTTCAGGAAACAAAAAATAAATTTAAAGACAACTTCTGATCTTTGAAGTTTCACTTTGGACTTTAATTTCATGATGGACCGGTACCTTTGTGTCCTCCAGAACCTTTCAGAACCTGTGTACCTGGATGGTCCTGCTTCAGGCGTGACCTTTTCCCTTTAGGCATGGGGCGCAGTCACAGGGCAGGTCACATGATCTTAAACTCTCCTTTCTGCTTTTCTTCAGTTTCTCAGAACGTTTCTCTGGTTCTGGTCCGGTTCTGCTGAAGTTTGTATTTGATCTTTTAGTACTGGATTCAGCTCAGAGTTGGTTTTTATCGGGCCAGACCGGGTTTAGGTTTTAAATCAAGTTAAAGTCAGACAAGCTCAAAGAGATTTAATCAGCTGTTTGGAGGAACACCTGTCTGCACCTGCAGAGGGGGCGGGGCTTAAAGGTTCTGAAGACACTGTAAACAGTAGCCTGTTCCTGTTGGTTCTGATCCAGAAAAATATGTTTTATTTTATTTATTCATTTCTCTGTGATCCTGGAGACGACCGCTGCAGGGTTACCATGACAACCACTGGACTACAAACATGGCAGCCTCCTGGAACAGAACCAGGCCCTGCGGACTCTGGGACCTGAAGGCCCTGCGGGGACACTTCCATGATGTCAAACAGTTTTAGTGCTCGCCAATAGCGTGCACGCCATGTTGTTGTTGTTAATAAAACGTGCAGAGACAGACGGCTCCGTGTTTCCTTCTGATCCAAATTGAGGTTTAAATTGGTTCTTTCAGCCACTGATCATTTTAATGTTCACATCATTTTACAGACCAAATATAAAACAAGCTGAATTTACTGACATTTATTTAAAAGACAAACATTAAAGGAACATTCTGAATAAAATAATGAAAATGTTTCTCCTACGTGGACCAGAACGTCAAAACATCCATCCAGACACCAAATAATTGATATTGAGATTAAAGGAACGGCTCTTAATTGGTTTAAATCATATTTATCTGATAGATTCCAGTTTGTAAATGTAAATAATGAAACTTCATCAGGGCAGCACGGTGGCTCAGTCAGTAGAGCTGCTGCCTCTCAGCGAGCAGGTTGCCCTGGTTCAAATCCCAGTCTGGGGGTCTTTCTGGGTGGAGTTTGCATGTTCTCTCCGTGCTGCGTGGGTTTTCTCCAGGTACTCCAGTTTCCTCCCACAGACCAAAAACATGCATGTTAGACTGATGGGTGACTAAAATGTCCCTAGGTGAGAGCAAGAGAGAGTGAATAGTTGTTTGTCTCTAAGTGTCCTTGTGATGGACTGGAGACCTGTCCCCGTGTCCCCTGCCTCTCACACAGCTGGACATGAGCACCAGCGACCCACAAGGGAAGAAGCAGGAAAAGATAATGCACAGATGGCTGGAATCATCTTCATACACCTAAGTTAGTCATGATGTTCCTCAGGGTTCAGTGCTTGGACAAATACTCTACCTTGTATATGCTTCCATTAGGTAATGCTATTAAACAGCATGGGATAAATTTTCATTGTTATGCTGATGATACACAGTTATATTTGTCCATGAAACCCAATGAATCCAATCAGCTACTTAGACTACAAGCATGTCTTAAAAACATAAAAACCTGGATGACTCTAATTTTTTTCCTTTTGAACAGACAAGACTGAGGTTTTAGTTTTTGGACCTGAGCATCTTAGGAATACATTTAGATAGTACAGTCACTCATTAAGATAAATAATCAGTGAAACATATTTTTATTTTGTTTGATTTTTTTTATTTTTCATGGCCTCTCCAGGTGACACAAAGTAAAAACAACCGTTGTTGATTGTAAACAGGAAGTAAATATTCAAATATGTAAATAACAACAATGTCTGCACTCACTAGTAAACAGAACAACAAACAAGATTCAGGATCAAGCCATCGGCTGTAGTTGTTATTGTTGTGTCACTCCCTCAAGTTCTTGAACCTTCATCTGTTGCCATGGCGACGCACACAAACCTCAGCAGCTCCTCAGTTCACCAGCGACCCGTCACCGACCCGGTTCTATCTGAGCAGCAGGAAGATGGCCGCCAGCTGCTCCTGCTGAACCCTGAGGAACCAAACCCAAACAAAGAGGGTCAGACGGGACCAGAACCTGTGTCAGTCCCCTGATGGTCCAACTTTGAGAGATGCTGCAGGTCTGAACCAGTTCCATCTGGACCAACAGAACCAACAACTGTAGGCTTCATCTAAAGAACCCCCTAAAGTCCAGACAAAAACTGGTCCAAACTCAAGTCCAGATAAAAACTGGTCCAAACTCAAGTCCAGACTAACAGAACCGACCCTGGACACAAACTCAAGCTTGGTCCAAATTAAACCCAGCCTGGACAGAACTCAAAGATCCTTCAGACCAATAGAAACTGGACCAGAACCGCTCACACATATGGACCTGCAGGTTCTGTGCCTCTTGATGATGATGATGAAGGTGTTTTTAGTTTCTTCTGAATTATTTTCATTTTTTAATCTCTTAATCTTCTCAGATTTTCTAACGTTTATCTAGTCGGGTCATGGAGGCAGCAGGTGCAGGAGAGAAACTCAGACCTCCATCTCCTCAGACCCTCTCCAGCTCCTCCTGGGGGACCTCGAGGTCTTCCCAGACCAGAGAAGATCCACAACCTCTTCAGAGAGTTCTGGGTCTTCCCTGGGGCCTCCTACCAGAGGGAGGTGCTCAGAAAACCTCCACAGGGAGGCGTCCTGATCAGATGAACCTCCTCAACTGACTCCTTTAGATGCAGAGGAGCAGCAGCTCTACTCTGAGCTCCCTCTGGATGACAGAGCACCTCCTCTCTAAGGCTGAGCCCCCCCACCCTGCAGAAGAAGTTCCTTTCAGCTGCTTGGATCCAGGATCTGGTTCTGTTGGTCCTGATGCAAACCTCCGGACCACAGCTGAGGGTTGGAGTGAAGACAGACCAGTAGATCCAGAGCTTTGCCTTTAGACTCAACTCTCTTCTTACCATGACAGACCGAAGCAACGCCCTCATTACCGAGGTGATCTGTTGATCCACCTCCCGCTCCATCACTCAGGAACAAGATGTTCAGATACCTGAACTCCTCCTGAACTTCTCCTGAGGCAAGTTGACAGAGTAAAGAGAGATTATAAATGTTTGGTTTTCCTCAGAACCTCTACGGACAGAACTTTAATCTGGTGTTCAGAACTTTGTCTGACCCGGTTGTTTTCATTTATTGAAATGAAAAAACAAAACACAAACTCTGAGGTTTTTATTTTTATTTCGTCTCAGATTTCATTTGAAGTCCGGTCGGGTCTGAACCTCGCTGATTGAGCCTCCTGTCCCAGTTCTATCAGGAGGGTTTGGTTCTGATCAGCTGAAACGGGTCGAGTTGAATAACCCACGGTTTGTTAGGTGACGTTACTAACTAGCAGAACATCTGGACCGATGTGAGGAGACCAGAGACATGAATGAACCAGAACAAAGTTCTGATTTGTTAAAAGTACAACGTTCTGATATAAAGCCCTCAACAACCTAGCTCCATCTTATATCAGAGATCTTATTGTTCCATATTTTCATAACAGAGCACGTCGCTCTCAGACTGCAGGCTTACTTGTGGTTCCTAGTGTTTCCAAAAGCAGACTGGGAGGAAGATCTTTCAGTTATCAGGCTCCTCTCTTGTGGAACCAACTTCCAGTTTCTGTCCGTGAGGCTGACACATGGTCCAGTTTTAAGACGGCTTAAGACTTTCCTTTTTGATAAATCCTATAGTTAGGGTTGGCTTGTTATGCTGCTATAGGCTTAGACTACTGGAGGACAATTAATTGTTAAAATTGAATAGTTTTCATTTGATGCTATTTCTATCTTAACATGTGATTCTTGACCTGCCATTGTGTATCTGTTCTTACCAAACCCAGCCGGTTGAAGCAGATGGTCGTTTGTCCTGAGCCTGGTTCTGCTAAAGGTTTCTTTCTCATGAGGGAGTTTTTCCTTTCCGCTGTCGCCTTCATGCTTGCTCAAGATGAGAGTTCTGTGATGGAGTTAAATTCAAAGCAGTCTGCTCCTCAGATAAATAATGTTAAATTATTATTTTATATATGAATGTTTCTGTTCAGTGCCCTGAGACGATTCTGTTGTGACTTGGTGCTTTATAAATAAACTGAATTGAATTAAAGGGCAGCACATTGGTGCAGTTGGTAGAACTGCTGCCTCTCAGCGAGCAGGTTACCACGGTTCAAATCCCAGTCCGGGGGCCTTTCTGTGTGGAGTCTGCATGTTCTCGTCGTGCTGCGTGGGTTTTCTCCCACAGACCAAAAAACATGCATGTTAGACTGATTGGAATTATCCCTAGGTGAGAGAGAGAGTGAATGCTTGTTTGTCTCTATGTGTCCCTGTGATGGACTGGAGGCCTGTCCAGTGTGTCCCCCACCTATCGCACTATGATTGCTGGACATGGCCACCAATGACCCCCACGACCCAAAAGGGAAGAAGTGGGTAAAGAGGATGGATGGATGGATGGATGGATGAAATGAAGCGACTGGATCAGCAGCAGTAGCAGTGTTCCGCCAGCAGGAGGAGCTCCTGCTGCTCTCCTCAGCTCCAACACCCAACAAAACCGAACCTAAGCAGGTCCAGTTCAAGACGGTTTAACTTCATCTGAGCCTCAAACCACAAGGCTCATCAGTGTTCTGGTTCTGGACCGACTGAACACACTCAGAACCAGCGGAGTCCGGTTTAAGTAATTTCTGAGAAATCTTTTCCAGAACCCAATGTTCTGGGTTCCATTTGACAGGAACTTCCTGTTGGTTCTGTTCTCTCTGTCACAGTTTGGAACAAAAGTAGTTAAAAACCAGCCGTGTTGGACCAGAACCTTCATCAAAACCTGTTCCTAAAACCTCCTACAGGACTCTTCATGTGTCCTATGTAGGCTTCTAACCCCACTCCCCAAGGCCCAGTTGGGAGGATATCATAAAGACCTTCTGCAGGTTAGTGAGGGGGAGGAGCTTCATTAGAGAGGACAGAAGGGGGAGGAGCTTCATCAGAGAGGATATGAGGGGAGGTTCTTCATCGTAGAGGACAGGAGGGGAGGAGCTTTATTAGAGAGGACAGGTGGAGAGGCGCTTCATCAGAGAGGACAGAGAGAGTCTCGCTGAGTCCAGCAGTCTGTCCTCTCTGCAGAGGGTTAAAGTCTGTAGAAACTGGCTCTTACCGGGTCCCTGTGAGACCCAGAGTCTGGGTCCAAGCGGACTACAGAAGGGTCAGGTCTGACGTCAGTTCGATCCTGGAAACATAAAGGTGAGTTTGTCAAGGAAAAGGTCTAAAAGTGGGTTTAAATCTAAAACTCAGGTCAGGGGGTAAGAGGTCAAAGGTCGGAGGGCCAGAGGGTAAGGGTTCATCCAGTCATTTGGAGCTGATCATATTTTTATCTGGACTCATGATCCACAAGGCGACCCGTTCAGTTTGGAGCTCAGGTCTGGTTCTGATCTCTGGGACAGAATCCAGCTTCAGAACCAAGAAACTTCATGGTCCAGGTCTCAGGTCTTTCTCAAGATCCAGGATCAGTTTCTCAAGATTTTCACTACGGCGGGCAACCATGTAACTGACAGTGTCTGTCTGTTAGCAAAATATTGTATAAAAAGTTTTTGATGAGTCTGACCTGAAGAGCAGCAGCAACAGATGTGACTCAGGTAGAGGGGGCGGAGCTAAACTCACCTCTGCTCCTCCTCCATCATCAGATGTGTTCTGTAATGATATGCTGCACCACTAGGTGGATGCAAGGGGTCTCGGTG